TATATTATGTTATATATAAAAAAATATATCATAGAGCAAGCTCATATGAATTAATATAGTGTAGAAACTATATAACAAAATTATAACAGTGATTCTAATTTTAAAAAATTTAAGGAGCAAACTGATAATAATGATAACTTATATCAGTTAGATTTGATTAGATTAGCAAGCTAAATCTAAATTAATTATAATAATAAATAGTTATTTAATTTTATAGTCCAGTTTTGTATTAAAATTATCTTCACTATTATGATCATTTAAATACAGATTATAAAATTTGTAAAATGTTATTAATTTGTAGATAGAGAGAGAAAGAAAAAAAAAAAAAATCCATTACTTCTTTTACATCCTCAAGTTAATTATATATTTATAATTAATAACAATAAAAAAAATTAACAAAGTAACGTCTATTACATCGGCTTTTACACGTCATTCAGACATACTCTAATCCTATATATAGAATAATCGAAGAGATAATATATATAATAGTTAGAAAAAAGAGAGAAAGACAGAACCATGCACTTTTAATCAAACTAATAATAAGGGAAAAAAAAAAGAGTTTTATAAAGAAGGTAGATAAGATTGTTAGTATATATATATATATTTTTTTATGATTTTATGTTTTATCCTTTTTTTTTTTTTTTTTAAAAGATTTTTAAAGGTTTTTTTTATTTTATAATATGATTATAAATAGTTGTATTTAGTAATATATCTATAGTATGAATTAACATTTGTTATAAGTTTGGATATTATGTTTTGAAACCCTAATGGTAGACCAGACATACACAAAAAACTTTAAATTGAAATAAATTGGAAAAAGAGATCTGCTGAAACGGGGATCATCAGATAAAATTTCAGCGACATTTCAACCCCTCCTTTATTATGTCATAGATCTCTTTTAAACCGTATTTTATGTGTTAATATTAAGTTGTTTCAGTGAAATATTTAAATGAACATATAACAGATACCAGTGTTAACAAATTCAAACTGTAAACCTACCTTGACCGCTGCGTCCTCCATTGTGTATATCTATTTCTGGCTTGCACATGTCGCGGGAGGGGAATGTCCCCCCACATTTCAAATTTAGACCATTTCTTCAGAATTTTTTTGAACAACAAGAAAATTAAAGAAGATAGGAAAAATAGTTAAAGGAAGAAAGCTAAGTTTTATAATCTTTACAGATAGTTATATCAAAATAACTGATTTAACACTTAATCATCTTTTAATATTCCTTTAAAAAGGCAAATTATAAGAGTTTAATAAAGCTATTAATTGTGCAAATTCATCTTTATTTAACTTCCATTTTCCTCCCCAGAAATTGGAGATTAAACAAAAATGAAATATATACTTTAAAACTTTAAAAATCTTGTGAAAAAATCTTTTAATCAGTTATTTAATAAAAGTTTAATTAACTGTTAAAGATTATAAATTTGTTTTAGTTAATATTAAGAGAAATTATAGAAAGTTGATTTCATAAATGGATATTTCCATTTATTTTTTTTTAAATATTTTATAATTGATATACTGTTGAAATATTTTACTTGTTTGATACTAAATTTGTTTTTAATAAATTCCATGTTTAAATTTTTAACATCTTCTATGAAATTATCTAATATATTATTTATTCTATAAAATCTTAGAAACTGACCATAATATATACCTTTACAGCAATTTAATGATATATTAGAATTCATATTACAGTATTTTATAATATTGAAATTATAATTACTCTTTTTATTATAAACTCTAACAGCACTATTTGTAAGGTCTATATTCAAGTCTAAAAAGTTAACTTTTTTGTTTCTATAAATTTTTTCATTGTTCTTAAGTTTCAAGTATTTAGGATATATTTCAGGTATTAATTTTTTAAACAGTGGATTATTAAATATTATTATGTCATCTACATATCGGAATATTTGCCAATTAATATTATTTTGTAGAAAGTATTCTCTTTCGTACCAGAACAATGTGAAATGTGGGGGGACATTCCCCTCCCGCGACATGTGCAAGCCAGAAATAGATATACACAATGGAGGACGCAGCGGTCAAGGTAGGTTTACAGTTTGAATTTGTTAACACTGGTATCTGTTATATGTTCATTTAAATATTTCACTGAAACAACTTAATATTAACACATAAAATACGGTTTAAAAGAGATCTATGACATAATAAAGGAGGGGTTGAAATGTCGCTGAAATTTTATCTGATGATCCCCGTTTCAGCAGATCTCTTTTTCCAATTTATTTCAATTTAAAGTTTTTTGTGTATGTCTGGTCTACCATTAGGGTTTCAAAACATAATATCCAAACTTATAACAAATGTTAATTCATACTATAGATATATTACTAAATACAACTATTTATAATCATATTATAAAATAAAAAAACCTTTAAAAATCTTTAAAAAAAAAAAAAAAAAAGGATAAAACATAAAATCATAAAAAAATATATATATATATACTAACAATCTTATCTACCTTCTTTATAAAACTCTTTTTTTTTTTCCCTTATTATTAGTTTGATTAAAAGTGCATGGTTCTGTCTTTCTCTCTTTTTTCTAACTATTATATATATTATCTCTTCGATTATTCTATATATAGGATTAGAGTATGTCTGAATGACGTGTAAAAGCCGATGTAATAGACGTTACTTTGTTAATTTTTTTTATTGTTATTAATTATAAATATATAATTAACTTGAGGATGTAAAAGAAGTAATGGATTTTTTTTTTTTTTCTTTCTCTCTCTATCTACAAATTAATAACATTTTACAAATTTTATAATCTGTATTTAAATGATCATAATAGTGAAGATAATTTTAATACAAAACTGGACTATAAAATTAAATAACTATTTATTATTATAATTAATTTAGATTTAGCTTGCTAATCTAATCAAATCTAACTGATATAAGTTATCATTATTATCAGTTTGCTCCTTAAATTTTTTAAAATTAGAATCACTGTTATAATTTTGTTATATAGTTTCTACACTATATATATATATATATATATATATATATATATATATATAAAGGTCAATGTATGTATATATATATGTTAAAATAGGGGCATATTTTGGATCAAAATATTTATTAAATTTCAATATTTCGACGAGGCTGTTCGCCTATCTTCTTCTCGGAAAAAATTCAAAAACCTTGTGTCTTGGGTCTAGTAGCGATAGATAGAAATCCTTGCAACTTCCTTTGTCTATAAGCCTGGTTAGTACTTTATGTTTTGGTTTGGGCAGAGCGTGGACTGTATTTAGATACGTCAAACCTCTTTTCAGTTGAATATTAGCCTTGAATTAGAATCTTTCGATCCTTTATAAAACCTTCTGATTACATGAGAAACATCAATTCTCTTCGAGGTCTATTAGAAACACCAAATTGTTCCTGCGGAGAAACTGAACAAACTGCTCTTCACCTTATCTATGACTGTCCGAACTTTACAGAAGTGAGATTGTTCCCACATCTAAATGATTTAACTCTCTTACATCTCAGCCACTTTGTCTATATAAATTTTATGAACTCTGTCGATTAATACATGTAAATTTGTAAATATTTAATTCTAAGTTTTAATTTGTTGTTTGTTTACTCTGTAATAGGCTTAAATATTTCAACATCGTGCAAATTGTTGGTTAATAAATAATTAAAAAACTAAAGTTGCTATTACGATGAACTTTAATAAAACTTAAACTAGATCTTGATTTATATAAAAATAGATATTTCGGCCAGTTGGAGTTTTTATTTTCTCAACGTTTCGACAAAAATCTTTTGTCTTCGTTAGGAGAAGTAAATAAAAATAAAGCATTTGTCAAGGCGTTAAAAATTGTTCTGAGGTTTGCAAGGGCGTTCTCACGTGATTTTCCGAATTTAGTATAACATCTAAAGCGCGAGTCAAAAACAAATATTAAACTCGTCAATGACTATGATCTTGGAAATAAAAATATATAATAATAAAATTATAATAAATTAAGTATCTGTTTGTTGAACAGCTATTTGTGTAGAATCCTATTAAAGAAATATTATTAATTTATAAAAACACCACTTTCTTGTACACGTCTTGTTCGGCCTGGTTCAAATCACGTTAATAGGTACCGCTCAGCAAGAGCAACCTAGTTCATGATAATTGAACAATGAATAATATGTGAAGGTTATTCACATATTAAACAAAATGTTAACGCGCGATTCAATCCCGGTTCATGACTGTCGGGAATCGAGGGGGTTACCTACTCGTCCACCGACTTATGTCTTGTTCGGCGGTACATATACTAAAACATGAACAATATTAGAGAAGATTAGCATGGTCTCTGCTCAAGGATGACACGTAAAATAACCACTTTCTCAAAATTTGTAGAAATTAAAAAAAAAATCTCCAATCAAACCTTATATCTGACTGACATCCCAGCTCGTTAATATTTGGTAAGATTTTAATGCCAACTAATTAAAGCGCTTGAGAGATAAGATCCAATTAACATATCAAGCTACATTATTGACCCATTAAGATAATTTTTATAGTTCGAGATATATCTTGTATCAAATGTTGTGTAAGATAGGTTGTGCAAAAGAAATTACATAAAATAGACTATTGTTTCATCTAGACAGCTGAATTTTGGCTGATTCTGCCAAAAGAATGAAGAGTGTCAAGTCTCTCTTCTGCTGGGAAATTGTTGGATCGCTTTTGTAGACAACTCTCAGATTTATAAAATTATTTTTTTAAACTTTAAACATTTTAGATATACGAGGGGTGTCCCATAAGTCCGTGGCCCGACATATAAAGAAAATGACTAATAAAATGATTATGATTTATTTTTCAACATAATCCCCTTTAAGGTCTTTACACTTAATAAAGTTTGGGATTCATAAACAAAGTTTTTGATTTTATCGTTGAAAAGAAACTCATGCGGTGTAACTTCAAGTGTCGTTTTACAATCACAGGCCGCAGTGTATTATATTGTATTATAAGTTACTTTATGTATCATTTACGAACGGAAAAATACGTCCAGGGTAGCCTAGTGGACATGGCATCTATCTGCCCGGTAAGCGGAACATTGTGGGTTCGATTCCCATCCCTGGACACTTTTATTTTTCCGTTCATCATTACTCTTCATAATTCATCCTTTCATACCTCATCCAAAAAGGTTAGAAATAGTCAATATTTCACCTTGAAATTAAAATTTTGATTTTATCGTTGAAAAGAAACTCAAAAAAAAAAAAAAAAAAAGCGGTGTAACTTCAAATTAATAATAGAGGGTAAGTTCCTATTTATTACAAGCTTTCACACTCAAAGAATATTCAACTTCTTGCTTCAAAAATCCAAAAAACTTATTTAAAGTTTGTGTGGTTTTATATTAGGGTTATTCAGTAATATAGGGTAGTTTCACTTTAATGAGAAACTAACAGAATGACCCGGGCAACCCAAGTATTATCTAATTACATAATTTCGATAATAAATTTGATCAAAGATCTGTATTTGGTTTTAGAGGACAATATACAATATTAGTTACTAGGTGACATCATGGAAAGTTGTCCTACCTGAGGGTGAATTGTTGACTTTCCAGAATGGACGTACCAGCGATGGCACTGTAGCATCCCGAATGTCTGTTTCCAAACCAAATTAAAAAACATAAAATTTCCTCAAGAGTGATCAATGAAAGATAACAAGGTTATTTGTGTGTGTAGCAAGGTTGGTTTCTTTCTTTTTTTTTTTTTTTGGTTCTCGTTTCTTAAATAAATCTCTTCTTTCTTATCTCCACTCAATCATATTAGGGTCTGGGTGAAGTAGAATGCGTCTGCCTTTGTCATTAAGACTGGGAGCACTACTCAGTGGCAGGCTGACTTAGCTTCAATATGAAATGGCCGCCTCTGACATGAGGAACACACGCCATGTGCAGCCGCTCCTAACATGGAGTACAAACGCTGCTCATCCTGTATTCCTGGATTAGGAGTCCTTACAGGGTACTATCAGCCGGGCCAGCTGAACCCAGGTTTTTTAGCGAGCTTGTTACTGCTCCTCCTTCTTTTTCATCCGGGCGGGTGAATTGTTGACTTTCCAGAATGGACGTAGAGGCGATGGGATTGTAGCATCCCGAATGTCTGTTTCCAAACCAAATTAGAAAACATAAATTTCCTCAAGGGTAATCAAAGAAAGATAACAAGGTTATAGATGTATGTAGCAAGGTTGGTTTCTTGTTGTTTGTTCTCGTTTCTTAAATCAATAAATCCATCAAGTTATTGGTGTCAATGAGGTTATTCGTCACCAATCTCTTTTGACGCTCTTTCGAAATTTGCATAATCAATTTGGATGTGTCTCTTTTTTTGTTGTTTTGTTGTCAAGTTTGAATGATATTCTTGTAGGGTTTGTTTGGTAACCTCAATATCTCACTTTTCTATTTAGCTATGTCTCTTTTTTGGGTTTTCATATTATTAAAAACAAAATTATATTTAGAGAATTAAGGGCATATTATATTGTAGAACGAAGTTTGAAAATTATATCGCAAATGTTTCTTTTGAACGAAAAATCGAAATTTATTTTAAGGAGAAATAACGATTATTTCTAAACCTTAGGGATGAAGTATGATAGGATGAATTGTGAAGAGTAATAATAAACGGAAAAATAAAGTGTCCAGGGATGGGAATCGAACCCACAGTGTTCCGCTTACCGGGTAGATGTCATGTTCACTAGGCTACCCTGGACATATTTTTCCGTTCGTAAATATTTTATAATGTAATTTATAATACAACATAATGCGGTTTATGATTGTAGAACTGTAGCTTCCCTTCAGTCAAGCATTAATCTTTTGGCCTTTTAAGTCATATTATTGTTATTATTCTCGTCCAATATAGTTACTCCACTAACTTTTCATCCAGATGGCACAAGAACCTATAGAGTATGCAACAACTGTCCTGGTGTGGAACTAACACCTACTCACATATTCTCATGCCAGCAATGGCCGCAACCTTGCAGAAAATTGACTTAGACCCAGAGCAGCAGCTTTACACACCCAAGATAGTGGATATTGCTGCTGCTGTGATGGAGATGTATGGAGACATCTGAGACTCTTCTTTGGACACGACAACAACAACAACAACAACAACTAACAGAAAGAATAAAAGAGGATTTATCAAATTGGTCAAAAAAAAAAAAAGAATGTTCCAGATACTTAAAATCTGACTGTGGACCAGAATATAGTGTGAAAGTGTAAGAGGAAATATGCAAATTAAGGTATCTCTCCTTTTTTAACACATGAATATCATTCTCCCACCCTTTTAACTTTATTCAATGTTGCATAGATATGCAAATAGGATGGTCTACAATTTGACAAATTCTACTTAATGTTCCAGATATAGACTGAGTCTATTTTATTCCAGAGAAGGAAAAAGACGATAAAAAAACATGTGTGTTTTCCTTTGCTGCGTTTATAGGAAAAGAGGAAAGTTTTTTTTTGAATATTTTTGTTTTGGAACTTTATCATTTGAAATTAGTAATTCCCGTAAACTTTAAGAATTTTCTCAAGATAGAGGTTGTCTGGCCGGCATTTATATTTATGTGAAAAATAGACACTTCGGCCAGTTAGAGTCTTTAAACTCTAACTCGCCAAAATGTCTATTTTTCACAGAAATTTAGAATTTTTTGTTTAATGAATTTTGAAGAGATAAGGCATATATTGGATCAAAATATCATCTATTTTACCAATATTTCAGTTGGCTGAACACCAACCTTTATCAAGGTGTTATAATATATTTAATGTATGTCAACAACAAGTGTTATAACACCTTGATAAAGGTTGGCGTTCAGCCAACTGAAATATAGGTAAAATAAATGATATTTTGATCCAATATATGCCTTTTTAATTAAGGATTTATTTATGGATTGCTCTATTTTCAAAACGGT